CGAAATCACGTTCAAGATCGAAATTGAAAGCTGGATCGAGGTCTCGAAGTAGAAGACGGAGTAGAAGCAAAAGTAGATCTCGTTCGAAAAGACGACGTGGAAGATCGAAGTCAAGATCGAAATCTGCTACTAGACTGAGGTCTCGATCGCGACGATCGCGATCTAATAAGAAATCTCGTTCGAGGAGTCGCTCTAATTCTCGAAATAACAGCAAACATCACTATAAACGCAGACGGGCAAGATCAGTATCGAAGGTGAAAATTACAAGAGCTAAATCTCGCAGTACATCGCCTAAAAGAAGATCTCGTAGCAGTACTTGGTCCATGCCTAAATCTCCTGGCAGAAGAAGCTGTTCTTGGTCGAAAGGAGTGGATGTCGCAAGCAATAAAATGGATACCGTTAAATCAGCAAGTGTAACAGAGCGAGGAACTACGAATAAAGAACCACTGCAAACTTGTCACTTGGAGAATATAACTTCCGACTGACAAGAACCGAAGATAATTCTTCCACTTTGTGTCTTCGATGTTATTCTGTAAGAACGTATCGTGCAACGCTTTGTACAAAATCTGTATAAAATCCGTGACTGTATAACTGTAATTGTGTACATTCGTGTTTGTAGAATTTCTTTGATAAAAAAAGATATATATTTTTATTCATATGCTAGCTCTTCCTAATCTTAAATGATTCCATACTTCAATCTATATGATATTTAAGTGTATTAGTACGCGCAAAATATTGTTTAACCTTTCAGTCCTATTGGATGTTCGACCTTCTAATGTGTACATATACTATGAATGATATAGTCAAAAAGGATAGCTAGAATATTGCATTTTTATCTCGAAATTAAAAATAAACATGTGACATCGAAATATTAATTCTGTGAAATATTGAACCATCCCAATTGTTACATAGTAACACATTAACGTCCATTTTCGTGAATTGTTTATCGATCCAAGTATACTTTGGAATCATCATGTAAATCAGTCTTCATCTCTTTAGTTTCTTTTTGGGAAAGATAAAGGATACACCGAAGTAAAAGACATCGACATTCGACTTGCAAATTTTATTTGTTTTTCGGCATGAAAATGCATTGGTTCATAAACATTGTTAGTCATTATACTCCTATCCCTTCGTAAAGGATCGAAGATCGTTCTTTCTCTTTTTTTTTTTTTTTTTTTTTCTTAGCAGCGTTCTTCGGAGATACACGCTACGATTAGAGATTTATCGACTGGTGCTTCGCTTGATATTAATTAATTCGTCTATGATTAACAAGGATCATCGAAATTCATCGGTTTATTTTTTTCTCATTCTTTAACTTATTAGTGCCGTAATTAGCACCATACGCGTGTGTCCGCTCGACGTTTGTTTCACTCTCTCAAAACGTTTTTATTCATTTCTTCATTTTTTTCTCTTTAAAAATATGTGCTACATTTTTTTTGTTTGTTTGTCTTCTCATCGCTATATTTAATTATATAATAATATTACCACACATCTCGCATCGTTTAATCGCCATTCGTATGTTTCGGAATAACAACACCGGTTTGTTTTATTATTTTCTTCTTAATTTTACAATCGATGCTCGATAATGATATTCAATCTAATGGAAGATTCTTCATCATTCGCTTGAACATCGTTCACTTTATAAGTTTTCGTCTGCCTTTTCCCATTTTTTTTTTTTTTTTTTTATTCATTCAACGTTATTGGCATTACTCATTTACACTGATTTCTCATTTTTTCGCTTTTTTCCTTGTTTTTTTTTTCTCTTCTTTAAATCGTCTACCGCTACGGTATTTTTCGGAATTGATTAGATATTGACTACTTTCAAGATTCGTTGCGTGGGAATTGTTTTTTTTTTTTTTTTTTTTTTTTCATTTTTTAATTTATTCGTCGCACGACGATAGCGTTTATCCATTCTCGCGTTAATCAGATTTAGGATTACATTGCTTTTTCTCCGGCCAGATAAATTTATAAATTCCTTCTTATGACTCCGTTTTATGGAACGAACGCTATCATCCGCGTTCATTGAATCGGTGATTAGGCAAACGAACTACAAATTAAATTGTTATTACAGTTACGAATAAAGTTATAAATGTACAGTACATTTTATAATTAACAGAGCAGAATGATCGAGTCGTGTGAAAGTTAAAAAAAAAAAAAGAAAAGAAAAGTTAACAGTAACAAATTGAATGAATATCCAATTTTACGCTTTCAGTTATAAATATTGTAACATAAATACTTGTTACTTAAATGGATACACATGGATACACATCTATCATTAATCGCTGTTGAATTTAAACGTTTCGATTGCACTAAACAAAAAATTCTAATTTTAAGTAGCTTTCAAGTCACCGATGCAATATTTCTCGAAATTATCACTGCATCATTGCACGCTTTACGTCTATGGAATACAGAGGTACCATACTTTTTTCGTTCAATCGATCACGATTTCATTCACCACGATGTGTACATTCTACATGTGACTCGTCCATTTTCCAATGGTAAAGCTTCTAAAGTTTATTCAGTCATAGTAACTAGGTACAAAGAATTCTATGAAACACAACGGGGGAAATTGAACGATGGAGAAAGGAAAGTTTCGAAACGAAAGCCTAGATTTCTATTCAGAGTACAGGCGGTGCGATTGTGTTGTTTAATTTTTAATCGATCCTCATTCACTCGATAAACTCGATATTATAATTATATTTGGCTACAAATTCGCTGGCCCTTTTCAAGTATCGTCACTAATGTATTTCCTTTTCTAAAAAGTTTCTATCTAGCTTCATTTTTTTTTTGTTTCCCCTTTTCGCAATCGATAGCTCGAATAACAACGATGAACAATTCTCGATAGAAAATTACTAAGAAATATAGATTTCTCTCAGCTCCTCTAAATTCAGTGGATATACCGAATATTTGGGAAATGAACGACCCAAAGATTTACAATTTTTTTTTTCGCAGTTGAGCAAGCGTCACGTGCTTTTTTTTTTTTTCATCGCCAGCTATCCAGCAATGTACAAGTGTTAACGCGACACCCTGTGGATTACTCTTTCGTAATCTAGACCTCTTCCGATGGGCTGTCACACTGAGAGGACACACAGAAGATGTAGCTTGTTCAGTCCTGTGCTTCGAAAAGCTGCTCATTCGCCCGGCCAGAAACCTTAAAAGCAACATAGGATATCTCTTCACGTGTTATGCAACATGAAAAGAATGATCGAATAAGATTGGATGAATTTCAAATTTTTATTCGTACCATGATTATACACTTCGTGTATAAATTTTCTATATTCTTACGTTGAGATTTTTGTTTTTTTAATAAATTACAGTGTTTCTTTATTTGTTACACTGACTGGGAATCTGTAAAAAGAAAAAAAAAAAGTAATAAAAAAATTTTGTTTCAATTTCTCTAAACTTGATTGTTGAAGTTTCATAAAAGTTGTTATTTAAAAA